TATATATATATATATATATATACACGTCTACACATTTGGTTATTCTGAATCACCAAATAGTGTGCTAAGATGACAACTATTGATACCTAAAAATATTCCTGCAAATTAAATTTACTTAATTACCCTTGACTGTGTAAAGGAATGATAGGAGGAAATGGGTAAACTCACAGAAAATAAACAGATGAACTGAAATACATCAATAGGGGGCCTTACATGAAAATAGGCTTTATATATTTAGACAAATTCATATTAAAAGTAACAAAACCCAAACAGGTCATAGAATATAAGAATACCACAACAGATATATCAAGACAAGAAGATTATAAATTTATTACAGAAAGAAAGTTTATGGTATTTCTCTGATGTGTGTAGGTAATACAAGGCTTTCAACATACGTACCTCCAATGGTGAATCTAGTTGGACCCCTTAGGATCCTTACATTTCTGCATACTCTCTCATCAACATTGTATATAATAACTCCATCTTCATCACCCAAAACAATATCCCGATTGCTGTCTTCAACTGAACAAATAGGCTTCACATTATCTATATCGACTCCATGGATGGAAACCTTGGTCCAAGACATACCAACTCCATACTCCTCCATCACCCACAAATCATTACCCAGTTGATTAAAAAGACACAGCTTCCCACCAATAACAACAAGCTCGTTGAAAACAGCTTTGTAGTTATCAATCGAATCAGGTAATTCGATTTCCTTGAACTTCTCGTTAGCTAAATTAAACGCAATAATGGTTGATGAGTAATTGGGTCGTGTGCTTGTTAACCAGTGAAGGCTCCCATTGACGAGAACCCCACTAACGAGATGGCCCACAGCATGATCATAAGGAGAATTAGGCAATTTCCTCCATGAATTGTTGCTCAGGGTATAGACATTGATGAACATATCGGTGCAATCAGGATTATGCTCGTTGTCGGTGTCCCAGAAAGAAATAGCGATTACTTTGTAATCGTCGGTGGATGAATCGTAACCAAATCCATACATTTCAAAACTCTCACTAATCGGGAGTGCAAAACGGGAAAGGGGAAGTTTCGATATCTTACGTGTCGTTGGATTCATCAGATAGAGTCTGTCATATTCGTCTATGGCTAAAACGAGCCCGTTGCACGACCCCAAGATACCTTCCCACCTGATCGAAGGTGGCCTGAAAGTTATTTCATTTCCGGTTGCGGGTATTTCGTCATTTTTGAGATGTGGAACGATTTCGTTGATATCGATTGAGTAGAGGCATTTTGTATCGGAAACGAGAATCAATTTACTGGTTTTATGGTGGTTGTGTTGATGGAGATGGGTTTTGATGAATTGGGGATCGGAAATTAGCGAGCACCATTGTTTTGATACGGATTTGAACCGGCCGAGGGATTTCTCCGGCAGGCGCCGGAGTATTGCTTCGATAATATCCGGCGGAAGATTATTCATTGCAGACATCTACGACAGCGGTGGAGAGGCGAGGTATTTTCTAGGGCTAATGGAGGAGATTCCGACGTTGCCGTTTGAATGGAAACTCTACATATTTTACGTTACAGAGATGATCTCCCGTATTAATTTTTTGGGTAAATTACACGGATGGTCCCTATGGTTTAGGGTAATTTGCGTGTTTGGTCCCTAAAAACTTTTTTTAACTCGGACGATCCCTAATGTATATTTTTGTTGATCGCTTGGTCCTCGTCTGACCTAAAAAGACTATTATGCCCTTATTAATTTCTTTTTTAATTTTCTTTTATTTATTTATTAATTTTAAACTAAAAAAATAAAAATAAAAAACAATCTCTTCACTAACCCACCCCTCCCCCTTCCTTTTTCATGTCCCCTGTTTCCTTCCTTCCCTTAGCTCTCTTAAAAGAAAAAATGGCGGACCCTAAAACTCTCGATCCTCTCTCTGCTCTACTGATGAACTCCGGCGTACACTACACCGGAAATCGTTCGTCGGAAAGGCTACGATGTATCGAAGGCGGATGCGTGGTCACTCCGACGATTCTTCCTCACCCTCCTTTATTTCTCGTCCAAGTATTTTCCGGCGACCCTAGAACTCCCACCACCCCCGCTCTGACGCGCCTAGCTAGGGTTTTGAGTCTACCGATCGTCTGGGTGTGAGATCGAGGCTGTCTATGCAGAGCTGCGGAGGCTACCACCACCCCAATCTTCCTCATTTGATGTGAAATACACCCAAAAAAAAGAAACCTTTTAAGCTTCTTTCTTTGCAACTCAGAATCATCACCAACATACCTGCAAGCTCTGGGAAGATCATTATTCACGGTAGGGTTCATGGTTTACAAAACCATGTTCTGATTTTGCTAAACTCTTGGTTCTAATTTTGCTAAACTCTTACAAGAAAGCATTAGGGTTTCAAATTTTCTAATTTTGCATCTGCATATTTTTTTGTGTGTAGCTTAAAAATTGGTGTTAAGATTTCTTTTTCTGATTTGGATTTTTGCATGTAGCTTGAGTTTTGGATTTTGATTTCAGATTCATTTTAGTTTTGGATGATATCATTTGATTTGGTGTGGTGAGGGTTATTCAGAACGAGGACAACAAAGAGGGGTTTTCGGTGATGGTTATGCATATTTCCTGGTGTACATTTTCCGGTGGTAGTGGTGGGTATTGTTCTTAAATGAGAGAGAGAGAGAGAGAGAGAGAGAGAGAGAGAGAGAGAGAGAGAGAGAAAGAGAGAAAGGGTCGGGTGGTATAGGTTCTTGAATCAGACCAATGTTTATCTGGTTAATATGTTTTCCACATTTAATTAATCATTTTTTTAATAAACTGATAGTTTAAAAAATGTAAAAGAAATCAATAAGGGTAAATCAGTCTTTTTAGATGGGACAGGGACTAAGCGCGCAACAAAAATGTAAAATAGGGATGGTCTGAGTTAAAAAAAGTTCTTAGGGACCAAACACGCAAATTACCATAAACCATAGGGACCATCCGTGTAATTTACCGTAATTTTTTTGTATAAAATAAATTTTGTATTTTCATTTAGAAAATTAGTATAGCAAAATGTATTTGATTTAATTAGGCTGTAAACATCAATCATAATTGTTTTTGATAATTATTATCATATAGCCAAAAAAATCACGATGAGCATTTGCAAAAACTGTTTTCTATTACTTTTTAAAAAAAAAATATCAAAATCAACATCGTTTTGGACATCAATACAAAAAATATTCACCCGTGATTAAAAAAATAGTCTTTTTGTAATAACTGCTCTGAAGATGTTTTCAGGAATAAGAGAAGACGGTGCTCTTTCATAAGCTCTTTGGCTATTTGCTTGCGATAAAGAAAGAGTGAATTGATCCGAGCCAAGTAGTCCGGCTAAGCCGGAAAGAAAGAGTTAGATCCTCTTTGAGATGAAATGCGGCAATGTCCTAATCAAACCAGGCGCAAGGTCAATGATTTCGCTCAAGGCTCAAGGCATAAAGGCTCTTATTCCTTCTGCATTGGTCTCGGAGGGCCCTCGCTCTAAAGGGTTGATGGCAGCTATCCTGCTCTGTCAGAGATAATTGGAATGGAATTGGTGTGGTTCGCTAGCTCTTTCTTTTGAGACGAATGTATTCCGAATAAAGGAAGGCGGTCGTGATAGGGAAAGGCCTTTCCTTATTACCAGGAAAGATAAAATGGGCCAAATCGCCTGCTAAAGAAGAATCTCTTAGGGAATCGATCTAGACTAGATGAGATGTTAGTGCCGTTAAACTAGCTGCCAGAACAAGTTCAAGAGATGAGGATCCAGGTAGTGAAGTCACCCTCGGGGGAAGAATCATTCCATTCACTTGTGAAACTGCTAAGAAGAATAGCTTTTCTCTGAATCCACCACTCACTCTCTTTCGGGTAGGTTTAACGAGAAAGTAAAAGCAATATCCTCAACCTAGAAAGAGAACTCCGAGATCTTATTTTTCTTCTTAACAACCCGAAGGCGAACTAATTCGTCTTGGTGCAGCTCCTAGTCCTGATCGATTGGCTACTGGGTGTTCACTTTTTCATGTTGACTATGAAATTCAGAGACCGTATTACGAAAATCAAAATTCGTACAAAAATGATTCACCTATGATTAAAAAAAATATAAACTATCTTTTCATGTTGACTGTGAAATTCATAGACCGTATTACGAAAATCAAATTTCGTACAGATTAAAGGATGTTATCTTATAAGAGATTGTAAACAATAAAGAATTGATACACATTAGACGATTTGATATAAACTTTGATATTGAAATTCTCGTAGATATAGATTTCCTAGAAATATATAAATTGGCCATAGAGATGGTAGGTTTAGGCGACAAACCTAATATCAGTCTGTCATTCCAACTCTGTACAATGAAATATGTTATACATATAGCCTATGAGGGTTATGTAAAGCGTTTAAAGAAGATTATTAAGTATGTTTCAACTCATGTGTTGATTTTAGTGTTATTAGGTCATTTTGTGTGATTGGAACTTAAATGTGAACTAAGGGGATTCGTAATTTGTACTCTAATATATGCATGGGGGTTCGGGGGCAGCGCCCCTGGGTCTGGGGTATCCAAAGGGGCATCGCCCCTTTGGCGGGGTCTAGGGGCAGCCTAGCGGGGTCCAAGGGGTCAGTTTTAGAAACCACTTATTTCCTCATTAATTCAGGATTCCCTTGACTTGTTTCAAAAGCAACCCATAACGACCAACTCTAAGAGGAAACCCTACATATCGTTTTCTATATAAACGACTCTCTTTTTTTGTAGAGAAAGAATGACCATTTTTTAGCTCTCGTTTTTCTTCATACAAAGGCCATTTTTGGTACGTCGGATATACCGTGTTGTTGTGACCAAGAATATATAATCGGTCGATTGCATATCCAAAAGCCGATTAGTAAATGAGCTACAAATTTACAGCGATAAAAGGGGGCTATAAATTTACAACGACAAAGAAGCTCTTTAGTGCCAACTAAAGAGCTTCTTTGTCGTAAATTTATAGCTCCTTTTTGTCGTTGTAAATGGCACTAGGATCATATACTATATTATAAATGGAGCATCATGTATCATGTATCATATCTATCTATCTAGATATCTATATCATTATCATTATATATACTTATAAATGAGACATTTTTCCAATCTCGTCATGCATTTGAAATCCCGACACAAATTTCCAAGAACCTCATGCATTTGAAACCCCCACACTTTTTCACATTCAAAGTAATTAATAACACATCACACACTTTATATAACTAAAATTTTAAAGTTGTGAATGGAATTAACTATGGATGGTGATTTTAGAGCATGACATGAAGGAACAATTGATTTTGCTCGGACTTATAAATATCTTCCCAAATGAAAATTTGGCAATAATGTTGAATGAAAACCTGCTCCTACATGGTGATTAAATCTTTTATGTCATTCATTTAATACCTTCCACTCCTTTAGTTTGTTCCTGTTTCATGATAATTAAATCCTTTTAGATCATTCATTTCATAACTTCTACTCCTTTAGTTTGTACAATTTCAAATACTCTAAACGGGTTATGAATATATGGCAGGTGTTATAGGATAATATAAATCGGGGATGAACTAAAGCAGAACATATACCTTATGTAACACCCAGAATCCAGGAGGCCAAGTTAGGAAAGGAAAAACCCTAAGTCAATGAGTCAACTCGTCGAGTCCAAGGAAGAACTCGACGAGTCGGAGCGAGTTTCCGTGTCATAGGTTAAGTGGCCGACTCGGCTAGTCGGGGGACCGACTCGGCGAGTCTGGTCTGGGTTGGGAAACCCTAATTTCGGGACTTGGTGCCCTATTTAAGCATCATATTCTCATTCCCTCAGCCTCCCTAATGCTCTCTCAAGTCCAGAACGAAACCCTAGTGCCTCCCATGAGATTGTGAGCCATTATTGAGCATTTTTTAGTGTTTTGGAGCTTGAAGAAGAAGGTGAAACCTTGGGGATACAAGAAGAGACTAGTAGATCCAGAAACCTCTTTTGTCCTTCTCTATTTTCTGGTAAGAAAGCTTCAACCTTGATCATTATGCTCTTAGATCTCTTCCTTTCACCTTTATGGGGTTTTTGGTCCAAGAAGTATGCTTTATGAGTCTTGGATGTCCCAAGTTGATTATACTTCCAGATCTAGAGTGATTAAGAGTTGGGGAGGCATAAAGGTGCAAACTTTATGCCATTGAAGTTCCATGAAAACCCTAAGGATAATATTATGGCCTTTTAAGCCCCAAAAGGCCATGCATGGATATAAAGGTTGAGGCTTTACATGCTTGTTGGGTATATAGGACCTAGATCTGGGCTCTCCTATCTTGGATTGGAGTAATAAGGGTTTTGGACAAAGATTCATGTCTTAAGGAGCTAGGGTTTTGAGCTAAACCCATTAAGAAGGATTAGGAGTGGGTGAAATTGAAAACTTTACCCTTAATAGGTCATTTCCAGCATATAGACGAAGTTTGGGGTTCAGATCTGAGGTGTAGG